TAAACCTGTCGAACGCCTACACTGTGCAGCCATAATTACACCCTACCTCGTGACCTCCACCTGAAAACCGAAACGTATCGTGACTATTACAGCGGTAAGCCTATTTGGAGCACATTTTCAGATACACATCGCTATAAACACCCCAATGGATATATATTTTAATATCCATCCGAAGAAATATGATAATATATTGTATCTTGGAATTTAGCACTTTCTCAGTGTCAGTCCAATGCAGGTTCAGTTCCGCTCTACTAATAAATTCACGCGAAAAAACACAGAGAAGGATTACATAAAAAAAAATTATATTTTAAAATGTTTAACGATCATTAAACCGTTCTTCTCCGATGGACGAAGAAATTTCCAAATGTTAAATCCCACCCTGAAATTATTAATGATTTTTTTTAATATGAACGATTTCTCGAATCAATTAGGCTATTAAAAAATATAAAAAATAAAAAATAGTGTTTTATATTTACTGAACTTATGACCCTAAAATGGTTTCAAGAATTTATTCATAACCGTATTTTATTTCAAAACATTACTGTGTATATATATAGTACTGTATATTGAAACTGATAGCATAGAAAAGATGTTTCGAATTTTATTTAAAATGGAACTTAGATAAACTGGATCGAGTCAGAAAATCTCGGGAAAAAAAGTAGTTTTATAGTAGAAAATATCACTATTGTCGTTTCAAATTGCTCGAAGGTCCACTAGTAAGAGCACAAGGAAATTTTTTCTCATCAAAATCCAACCTTGCCAAGGACGTAACCAGAAAATCTGGTAAGGATTATTCTAGGTTTTTCCGGATGCGAGAGATCAGAATATAAAAGTTCTTAGTTTAATGATTAATAATACTAAAGATTATCAGTACAAGTCTTTTTTTTTTTTTTTTTTTTTTTTTTTTTTTTTTTTTTTTTTTTTTTTTTTTTTTTTTTTTTTTTTTTTTTTTTTTTTTTTTTTTTTTTTTTTTTTTTTTTTTTTTTTTTTTTTTTTTTTTTTTTTTTTTTTTTTTTTTTTTTTTTTTTTTTTTTTTTTTTTTTTTTTTTTTTTTTTTTTTTTTTTTTTTTTTTTTTTTTTTTTTTTTTTTTTTTTTTTTTTTTTTTTTTTTTTTTTTTTTTTTTTTTTTTTTTTTTTTTTTTTTTTTTTTTTTTTTTTTTTTTTTTTTTTTTTTTTTTTTTTTTTTTTTTTTTTTTTTTTTTTTTTTTTTTTTTTTTTTTTTTTTTTTTTTTTTTTTTTTTTTTTTTTTTTTTTTTTTTTTTTTTTTTTTTTTTTTTTTTTTTTTTTTTTTTTTTTTTTTTTTTTTTTTTTTTTTTTTTTTTTTTTTTTTTTTTTTTTTTTTTTTTTTTTTTTTTTTTTTTTTTTTTTTTTTTTTTTTTTTTTTTTTTTTTTTTTTTTTTTTTTTTTTTTTTTTTTTTTTTTTTTTTTTTTTTTTTTTTTTTTTTTTTTTTTTTTTTTTTTTTTTTTTTTTTTTTTTTTTTTTTTTTTTTTTTTTTTTTTTTTTTTTTTTTTTTTTTTTTTTTTTTTTTTTTTTTTTTTTTTTTTTTTTTTTTTTTTTTTTTTTTTTTTTTTTTTTTTTTTTTTTTTTTTTTTTTTTTTTTTTTTTTTTTTTTTTTTTTTTTTTTTTTTTTTTTTTTTTTTTTTTTTTTTTTTTTTTTTTTTTTTTTTTTTTTTTTTTTTTTTTTTTTTTTTTTTTTTTTTTTTTTTTTTTTTTTTTTTTTTTTTTTTTTTTTTTTTTTTTTTTTTTTTTTTTTTTTTTTTTTTTTTTTTTTTTTTTTTTTTTTTTTTTTTTTTTTTTTTTTTTTTTTTTTTTTTTTTTTTTTTTTTTTTTTTTTTTTTTTTTTTTTTTTTTTTTTTTTTTTTTTTTTTTTTTTTTTTTTTTTTTTTTTTTTTTTTTTTTTTTTTTTTTTTTTTTTTTTTTTTTTTTTTTTTTTTTTTTTTTTTTTTTTTTTTTTTTTTTTTTTTTTTTTTTTTTTTTTTTTTTTTTTTTTTTTTTTTTTTTTTTTTTTTTTTTTTTTTTTTTTTTTTTTTTTTTTTTTTTTTTTTTTTTTTTTTTTTTTTTTTTTTTTTTTTTTTTTTTTTTTTTTTTTTTTTTTTTTTTTTTTTTTTTTTTTTTTTTTTTTTTTTTTTTTTTTTTTTTTTTTTTTTTTTTTTTTTTTTTTTTTTTTTTTTTTTTTTTTTTTTTTTTTTTTTTTTTTTTTTTTTTTTTTTTTTTTTTTTTTTTTTTTTTTTTTTTTTTTTTTTTTTTTTTTTTTTTTTTTTTTTTTTTTTTTTTTTTTTTTTTTTTTTTTTTTTTTTTTTTTTTTTTTTTTTTTTTTTTTTTTTTTTTTTTTTTTTTTTTTTTTTTTTTTTTTTTTTTTTTTTTTTTTTTTTTTTTTTTTTTTTTTTTTTTTTTTTTTTTTTTTTTTTTTTTTTTTTTTTTTTTTTTTTTTTTTTTTTTTTTTTTTTTTTTTTTTTTTTTTTTTNATTATAAAGCGAAAATTTCCAATTGAGGATATACTTTTTATATTAGTAAATCAAAATTTCCCAAATTAAAAAAAAAAAATTATATTATCACGAGTTCTAATTTATATAAATTAGAACACGTTTTAATATTAGTTTGTACGCTGAATTACTTTCAAAATTGTTCTTAATTTATATTAATAAATTATCATTTAGTAGATAATTATTGTTTGTTTTTAAACTAGATCCATTCAAATTTATAAATTTATTTACGCCATGTCATTATTAATAAATTATCATTTAGTAGATAATTATTGTTTGTTTTTAAACTAGATCCATTCAAATTTATAAATTTATTTACGCCATGTCATTTAAGATACATTGCTCCTTACATCGCTATTAATTTTTATTTTTTTTCGAGAGCGATAAAATTCTATATTTTATATTTCTAGTTCTTGAGGGATTACTTTTCACGCTGATCCATAGTAAGATAAGTAATCAGATCTTAAAACCGATAAAACTTTTATATAGAGTATACAAATATCGTTAAAATATGAAATGTTACATATCTCATAAGTAATAAATACGGATTTATTAATTGAATTTTCATATATAATCAAAATAAATTTTATGAATGGTACGAAATTTCTAAAAATTCATTCCATCTAAATTATTCGAAAGAAAAGACATTTTTTTATTATTTAAGAGTTGTAAAATACTCTATTATGCTATTATAAATGGTTTTATAATACTGTATATATAGGCTATATATAACATAAATTACAACATATAAAATTTAAAAACTGAAATCGTAAAATTCATGGAAAAAAACATAAATCTCTATGAAGTTTACTTACAAAAACATATTACACATAATTTGTCTTTATGGCTTAATAACAATATCTAAAAGTCAATTATTTTTTCTATATTTTTATGTATTACCTCGTTGGTAGTGAAATTAGTCGGAGCATGGCTACACCACAGAAGCGAAAACAACAGTTTTTTTTTCACTTCCATCCTTTTTTTTAAGCCATTTCCGGAAGACACGCCAATGATCTGTGTGAGTCATTCGATATAAGGGCCGATACCCTAAGTCTTAAAACACCTTCGGGTCCTTTTAACGGCTGAATGAGCCCGGGAGCGATAAAATGGAGTCGGAGACCCACTAACCTCGCAATTTGTGCTTACTTTCCCATCGACACAGTCTTGAGCAAGCAGTTAACGCATCATCCGTATCAGTAGCCAGTCCAGCATTTCGGACAGGCTCCTGATGGAAAAAAAAAAACCTTTTAACAGAATATTTACGGTTACAAAGTGAAGCGGAATGATAAAGGGAACTGTAGAGTAATTCATGACTCGAATAATCGGCGAATACGATTGAATGACTTTTATACGTACGTTAAAAAAAAAGTAAATTGATAAAGTAGCTATTTTATAACAAAATATATAGACTATATATGTGCTGTTTATTCTTCATAACTGAAATTACCAGACAGAAATCTAATGAAGTTAATAGGAGATTTAGTACGTTTCTGAATTGCGCTTTAAGTAATTAATAGAATTGCTTAATTTTTCTTTAAATTAAGTAATTCTGTCATTTAATAGTAGTTTAGTAATTGAAAGAAACGTGTTATAATCCGAAAGAACAGAAATTCCAAAATAACTTGCAGTAGGCCTGCTTATCGTGTGCTAAAATAAGAACTCGTGACATTAATATAGTGGGGGTCTATTACACGTTTCCTGCTCCGTATCACAATGTATAAAATTAGAAAAAGTACGTATTTTACAAGTATATAATCATAGAGAGTAAAAGTATCTAATTCGAAAATCGTATTTAATATAAAAGATACTTTGTTAACAGTCAACAATTAGTGGAACATCATAAATAAAATGAATCACTTAACACGACAATTGTAGAGTAACTTAAAAGAGATATTTGTTAACACACCTTAAATTAACTTATAGATTTGATTCGAACGTAATACATCGATGTCGGATCTGTTAATTTTGTAGCTCCGGGCTGAGTTATGCCATCCGTTCAAAACACACAAAAACATTAACCAAGCAGCTGTCAGTCACGTGACGACCAATGGACTTCCTGTCGGCACAAACACCGTTGGCAACTTTCCAATGGAACAAGTTAAACGGGCTGGACAGTGGAAGTGGGTGGAGTTATCTAGCCTTGGCAGGCTAAAGATCTAGACTAGATCCTTCAGGTAAATAAATATGGTTATACTCTCATAAAATAATACTAGGAAATGGAGAATATAGGGTGGAAATGAATTCTTTTTGCTGCCATTAAAACGCGGATATGTCGGCTCATTTCGCTTTTAAACGGCACGTTTTAATACAAGAAACGATGGGAAAAAATCAGATTTAACCTGTTAATTTAATCAGCATTGTAATAATTAATTAAAAATTTTAAAACAATCAAAGTATATACAAATCAATTCACAAGAATTATAGATACCTGAATATAATTTTAATAATAATAATATTAATAATATAATAATCGTGTGAAGCTAAAGGTGCCGCTATTCGGTAATGTGTAAACTTACCTGTTTTGACAAGAGCGGCTTACTTCCTATTGAGATGAGAAGAGTAAACTATAGATAAGGGAGTAACGCGCATCGTTTTCTTCTTCATTTGACAATCCTGTGTGACTGATATAGAGTTTAGATGGGAGACAAGCGACAAACTGTCACCTATAAACTGTATCGGCGACAGACAAGACTGAGAGGCAACTCACCCTCCGATCTAGAGTGGGCCTCCGGGGCTATTGTTCCGAGTCGCCATCTGGAGGGAAATTTTTCGCCGTGACGTCATTTCCCATTCGTGACCATTTCCGTCGTACAAAGATTTGTAATGGAAGAGTTGACAACCATGTGGAATTCCTCTTTCTATATTTAAGACATTTTTTTTTATATTATTTTTTGTCTCGGCCACCTAATTTTTTTTCCTCTACGTGGTTTAATAGAAATGTTCGAAGTTTTAAATTAGGGCATAAGTTTAACATCACAGAAAATTCGATTATTTAACGCGGAAATGTCACTCCTTATCCATGTTTTGTGATTGCAATTAAGATGCTAGTCGATGTACTCCTGAGTAAATCCCAGATTTGATAAGAGCTATAAATTTGAAGTAGTTGAAGCAACGACAGTTTCGATTGTTCGTCATTTTAAATAATATAAAATAGGCTAATGAATATTTGTAAAAATTAAAAGCTTCGAGATCTCTTTTTGTTAACAATATAAAAGAAATAGTTTAAGGGGATTTTCCATTAATTTATTTGGACTGTATGTACACTACATGTTTCTCGAGATTACGAATATAATTTATAGATTTCTTACTCTTATAAAACTGTTATTTTGATATATTACGCGGAAGAAATAAGTGAAAAAAAAATTAAAGTGATTCCGTTATGGTGACCCGAAACAAAAAAGTTACTGTGCGTAACCGAAGTAACATTGACGAACCGATTTATAACGAGAGTCTTCATTATGTTTGTTTACATCCATATGACGTGATGTTTAGTTTATGTCATAATTCACACAATAAGCTTCCGTTAGATGTATAGAGATAGTTAAACGGTTATACCAGTAAAATTCAAATAATACATTTAAAAAAAAAAGACAAATTCGTGATCCATTCAATCTGTATCAAATCGCAAAGTCGAAACAATTCACTATACGTAACATTATATTTGCGTGTGTAAAACGTTAGAAATGACTATCTAACAATAATAATAATAACATATTTTCGATTTTTATTGCGTCTAGACGTTATAATGGAGTTAAAACTGTGATTTTTAGTGATACGGATCTCCCCAGGCTCGTATCTGGAACTATAAATTTTGAATACGTGACAAATGAACTCGTACTTCTAGTTACATGGTATTTTATCGAAGAGCAGCAATTTTTCTGTTTTAAAGAATCTTTTATGTATAAATAGAATTATTCGATACGCATTGGAATCGTACGGATTTGTTAATTTCGTGACAGTTCTCGAATTCTCTCCAATAATTACGCGTAATGGTGGAATAAGACATTTCTTTTGCACGATCTGATAAGCGTAATGACATAATTCGCGAACCTTTAGACCCGTTAGAGACTTAACTCGTCTAAAGAAAATGATTAAATTCCTCTTCTGTAAAGAATTTTTCCTCTTTACAAAATTAATAGTTTCAGTTGTAAATATTTTATTGACGTCATTTGTCAGATGACCCGATGACATTTAGTGTTCTAGTTTCGTCTCAATTGGATTGAGGACATTCTATGTCCAATTTTCCTGTCTTTTCTATTAAAATAGAATTATAAGGATGACCTATTCTCTTCTAAGACCAAGGTTCGCGTTCCGTGTAAAATTTTCTAAACCTCCATTTAACACAGACCATAACGAAATATGCGCTATAATACAGTAATTTTCATCATTAACCGCGAGTCAAAATTAAGAAGGATAAACAAACATGGCGCCATCTAGAAGGTAATTTTAAAACTAATCTTAGTAAATATTACAGTAAAATTATCACAGCTTTATCTAATTTCAAATTTACTTGTATACATTCTTAGATTTATAATGATAATAATAATAAAATTTGCCTATAAATAAGAAAAAGTCCGTAATCGCTTTTAATGAAAAAAAGGTATACAATCGAGATAGATTTTATTCCATTAAATACTTTCTTCTCAGTTGGCTTCCTTTTCCTGTTTGTGATCATCATAAATATTCGTGCAAAGGTCCTCCCTTTCGTAACACGCAACGTCGTGTCGTTGTGGCTGCACATAGGACGGTCAAAGATCAGTTATAAACCAATTACGTGTAGTTTATATTCCAATTATTTCTGTTGGATAGTATTTATTTAAATATTATGTAAATAACTAACCGCAGAATATCATAGCGATAACTTTATAATTTCTTCGTTTCAAATTAGTTTCACAGACGGTTGCGTTTTCATGTGACTAAGGTGGCTACTTTTTTTTTAAGAGGACACGCTCTCTTTTTTTTAGTTTAGATTTTTCGGAGAATGCCCCAATTTTTAAGAAGGAAAAATCAAAAATTTAGTGTTAAAAAAGTATTTCAAATGACGCTCGGAATAATTAAATATATCGTTTTATATGTCAGTACTTTCTGCTTATAGCAACAACTCGGTGCTTATATAATTAGACTATAGATTATAATAATAGTATCAGTGGGGGCATGTTAGCCTATGGGCAAAGAAGGCAACTGCCTGGGGTTCACACCAACGGATAGCCCAAACCAATATTTTGTTCTCATTATTATAGTAAGAATATCGAAGTTTAAATTTGGCACCATACCTGGGGGTCCCTATAAGTTCTGTGCGGAACTTGAGAAATAATATAGTCAAAAATATTTTACATATCTATAAAAATTGCTTGTATAATGAACACTTAAATATCGAATATGCCATATCATTCGATATTTAAGTGTTCGTTTTGTACTTTTTGGGGAAATCCTGTCACACTCAGTCTGTAAAAACGAAAAAATCCCTATGGCCAAATAATCAAACAAGATTTCGAAATAATTGTGCAAACTAGTTAAACAGGATAATATTATATAATTATCCGTTAAGAGATTATCCGGTATTGAGAAAATACTGAATATTACCTGATCATATACGGTAAACACTGGTTGAAGGAAAACATCTTACATAAGAGTAGATCTTTGTTTTAAAATGGCAAAAAACTAATTATTTTCGAAGCTTTTATATCGTAAACGCTCATCGAAGAATAGTCATTAAAATTTTTTATTACCTAAATATGATAAAAATATTAAATAAAAAGTCTCTTGTGTTACAGTAAACATACAGTAATTTTCCATATTGAATCATCTTGTTTGGATGTAATCATTTATAAATCAGTTTGTTTACTGTGAATAAAATTATTTTTAAAAATAATATAAATATAGAATTACGAAACTTGTTATTTATTGATCGAGAATTATGAATATAAATTAATGTTTTAGATAATCTAAAACAAGGATTACGTCTTATGTTTCCATTATTCTAAAATAGACAACTACGTCTTGAAAACTGCTTGATTTATTGCTTTTTAAAGGTTTAAATAAGGCGTGTGTAATTTATTTCTTTTAATGTTAAAAAAACCTCATCCCTAGCAAATCTGTTAACAGAAAATTCATTCTTTCATGCAATTTCTTAATACTAAATTCATGAAAATAATATATCACTGGATAAATTATTGAACGAAACAATTACCGAAAGTAAGTGAATAACGTAAAAATTGCAGGTGCACACGAAAATTAAGTCATTGTTATATTTAATTCATTGGTGTAAAAAAATACTTATTGTTATATCAATTTGTTGCAAAATATTTCGAACAAAAGAAGTGCATAACTTTTTTACTTCTCCTTGTCAAACAATAGGAAAAGTTGATACTTGACCTCATTTAGTAAGTAATTTCGTTAAGTCATATGTACAATTAAGCATATATAAATCACACATCTAATTATATCGATATTAAAATAGTTCAAAGCCACTGTAAACTTTTCAATCTTCAGTTTTTTAAAATAGGTCAAGTTTTAATTTTGAACAATTTTAATTTAGAATGTTAGGTCTTGGAAGATCTTATTTACATTTAATAAGGATACAGGATTCAAGTAATTCCAGTCATGTAAATAATAATTATGGTACTGTTGAATGATATTCTTATAAATGCTTATTATATTCTTATTTTAAGAACTTTAACAACTAAGTTATTGATGTGATATAAAATTATAAATCCTAATATCAAAATGTTTTGTATGAAACAATGCTTTACATAAATCAATTAGATTTTGTGTAAAGTTATAGCTAACAAAAACAATAATTAATGATAAAAAAAATGTAATTTTAATGTTTATACAAGATTTTTTTAGGAAAAAATGGTTTGTTGAAAACAAATGAATATAGTGCAAAGTTAAAATAAAAATTTGAAATTTCAGAATTTTAGGGCTCAATGAAACGCCAATGTTTGGAAAAATAAAATAAATTTCAAGGTTCTCACATACAAAAATAAGAGAAATGAACAGTCTTTCTTCAAACTTAATTGTCTAAAGAATTAAAAAAGCAAAACTATATACAGTATTATTTCAGAAGACACAAAGGTTGTTTAGTTGTCAAATAATTTATACAAAATTAATCTGTATTTCAACTTTTTGAATCAAAAAATAAATATTTAAGTTGCTAATTAGTCTTTTAGAACAAAAGCACACTAGAGTATTAATATGGTGTTTAACATTTTCACCTTAAGTTTTGATTACAATTTCAGTGAAAAGCAAAGTTTCCATATTCCATATTATATGCTTTGATCTTTAAATATGAACAACTGTGTAAACACAACTTTAGTTTTATTTAGGCTGTATCAGATATCTTTTTTTTTTTTGAATCCAGAAAGAAATAATTGTGAAATGTTCCTTGACTATTCTAGAACCAAGACTATTTAGAAAAAAACATTTCAGAGAAGCATCTTCAACTGCTCAAGAAAAAATAATTTAAATATCACTGATGGTGATAAGACAATTTTTTGTTTCTATCATTAAATCTGACTGATCAGTTATCTGTTTTTGAAAACCAATGAAAAATTTCACAAATGTTTCTTGTATTACAAATACTGTACATCATTCAGAGAACTTCTGAAATGTAATATTTTGGAAGTTATATTAATGACTAAAACATTCATAAAACAATATGAAAATAACAGTTCATCATAGAAAAAGTTATTTAAAGAAAAGTGAAATTTACTATTAATTGTTCAGATGATGGACTTAGTGTTCAACAAATAATTTTTTTGCTAGAAAGCAACTTAAATGACAATGTTAATTTCACTGAAAATTTATAGTAAAAAATAAAGGCATCTTTTATAAACCTGCAGAAGCTAACAAGTGGTTTGAAATACTCTTAAATGCTATGTTATGAAATAATGCCATTGAATATAAATTAGTAAAAAANTAATGATTAATAATACTAAAGATTATCAGTACAAGTCTTTTTTTTTTTTTTTTATTTTCTTCTCGTTTTTGATGATAAATGTTATATAAAGAATGAATTTTAACGTAGAATGATGCTCAAATCTGGATAAAATCTGCCAAAAAAGAAGGAAAAAAAAGCTATTTTATGTATCGTTTTCCTCGAATATTACAAAATATTACGAACTTGTTGCGTATGTTCTGTAACAAAGCGCTATAATATTATTCTAGATATTTGTTACATAATATATTGTTAAGTCCACTTATGATATAAATTAATATATAGTCTACATAACTTGCCCATTATTAGATTACATACTATGAATTAATTAAATGTGAATTTATTACATTCGCATGTTAATTAATAAATAAATTAAAAATATGTAACTATTAATTTTTGAAAAGACGTTATATATAAGTTGATTTATGTGACTTTTGCACATAAATAAATAAATATAATACAAAATATACTGTATTAAGATTTAATAAACCTATTCCTAAATAGAATATTCTTTAAATTATGAAGTAAATTTATCAAAATCCAGCAAGGAAAACTTAACAATGAGAGGAAACAGAGTGCATCTAACGTTTTTTACTTAATACTGGAAATTTACTGAAGTGTCTATCAGTTTGTTCGTTCTGTAGAGAATAACTGAAGTAAAAGAGGCCAGATCAATTAAACTTAAATTTTGTGTGAAGATAAAAATGATCTGATACATCAAAGAAATAAAAAAATAAAGCACGATATTCGTCTAGTTCATAAAATGGGTACATTTTACAAAGTTTTCCATTACATTTTTTTTTCTCTTATAATCTAAAAAATCAATTCGGCTTATAACAATTTGTTACATTTTTCTTTTTCCCTTCGTTTTCTAGAGCTAGATAATCAGATTTTAGATGTTAGAAAATACAAACATCTTAGATAAAAATAAGCTTTTAATAGGTACAGGAAATTCGGTTATTTGAAGATTAAGTTCAATTCGTACCACGCCAGCAATTTTTTAAAGGATTTTTCTGTAATTTGATAACATAGTTTTTCAGTTTTTATCTAAATACATTTTCTAACAACGCTACGTTCAGTTTACAAATTAATAGTCATTTATTAAGAATGATTATCAGAATAATAATCGCAACAAGCTTAACATAATCTATATATAATGGAATATATAANAAAATTTAAGCATAGTTTTGAAAAATTTTATATAATTTTATTGCTATTATTTTTTAAATACAAAATATTTTCATTATTACAATTTCTAATATTAACAATTTTTTTAAAAATAGAGAAGTAGAAATGTTACAAAGAAAAATGTTAATTTCAAATGAACACTTGTGACTAAAATTTTACTTTTCTTCTCTTGCCTTGAAAAATAGGGAATTATCTTTTATCTAATGTAGCTCTAATGGTTCTGTAATTTGTTCTAAATTATATTGCTCATTTTAAAAGAAATTGTTCTTTTATTACTTATTATTAATTCATAAATATATCTATATTCAAATTAATATAAATTACTAAATATTTACATTGTATTAATATCTTATATAACAACAACTTAAGTCTCAAAAAATCTACTTTATTTTCTAATTAGGAATTTTTTATAATCATTTATCTTCTATTGAAGTCTTTCAGACTAGACTGACTTATAGTGTATATATGAGTATAAATATACTCTGAACTACATGAAAATTTTGAGTATATTCATAAAAAATTAAATTACAATTAAATGTTCAAACTAACGCAGTTTTTTTAGCCAATTATGATTAACATTTATAAACTGCTATTAGAAAAACAGCCATTCTAGTTAAAATCTTTTCATGAAATAATTTCATTATATAGTGTTAATTCAATCATATGATTTACTTTTTATAAATTACATACCATCACTAATCAGTTAAATCAAAACAGTTAACTATAATGTAGTATTTTAAGATTAATATAAGTATGATGATGTTGCAATTGAAAGTTTTTAAAGTTAAATTATAAAAGAAAAGAAAAATGTATTAAATGTAAAAAGTATAAATAATAGTTTTTTTTTTAAACAAAATGTTTTTAAATTTTGAAATTGAAATTGAATTTTATAAAAACGATAAAACTTTAAGAATGTCTCTTTACCTCTTACTTAATCTCAAATGCCTAATATTGACAAAATGTTGTCAATATTAACCATTTTTATAACAAAAATTCTATTGAATTACAAATTGAGGGGGGAAAACTGATTCTATTTTAAAGTCTTATTTTTGATTAGAGACTAAAGTCATCTCCAGTAATCTGTTTAAAAAAAACCTATTTTAAAATAAATGCATGAAAAGCATTACTTCACATGAATCCAAAATTCATTCATTTCATTAAATTTAGGATTAAGCAGTTATTCGTTCTTAATACATTCAGAGCTTGTTAAAACAACAGAATCAGTACATTATTTATACTATCTTATTATATTATTTAGTGTGTTATTACTGAGCAAAACAATTTCATAAGTAAATAAAAGTACTTTTTGTGTAAATAAATATTCTCTGAAAGCTATATTACAACTGACTTTAATTTTTTATATATATTTTCACTAAAATACAATTTAATCTGAAAATGATATATGCTTGAAACAAATAATTATCCTTTTCTTTATATAAATATTAAATACAGTACTAGTGCATTTATGCAGGTTAAAGTATAATAAATCAATAATCAAAATTAGGATGATAAAAATTTAAATACATTAGTTTAAAAACTTGTTGAAAATTTATCACAGTAACATCTTCGGAAGGAAGACTTCTTGATTGAGACCACCAGTTTTGGTAAATGGCAAGTTAGAAAAACTTGCTTTTTTGATAATTGAATAAATTTAGAAATGCAATTTATTTCATGTAATAACATCTTCAGAAGGTCCATCATATATTGGCCTAGGACACTCTCTCCTTTTGAAAAAAGGACAACAGGATGGAGTTTCTTGATTTGAGTCTAATTCTTCACTACTTTCAGCATAGTTTAGTCCTACAAAAATTACTTAATTTAAGTTTCATCATGTTATTTTAAAAGATTATTTACTCTAAGAACACACCACTTGCTTTGCTCTATATTTATTCCATAAACTTATGCTTTACAACTACTTGGCAATATGAAAAATGTAATATATTATTAAAAGAAAACACTTTGTTAAATTGAGATTATGATCTGCAATGTATTTGATTTATATAGAAAGGAAGAAAATTTTAAGAGTAAATTGTCATTATAAAATTTAATATGTACACCAATGAAAAAATATGTAATTAACTATAGTAAAAGGTGTGTTAGCTTATATGCATGTATAGATGGTGGAAAAAACAACATGACAATTTCAAAAACTATTTTATGGAATACAATTTGAGTGATAAAACAAGCCAGGTGTTGGAATAATTTGACAAGTTATTATAAACAGCATTGTGATTTATATTAATTTAAGTAAAGCATTTTTAATTAAGAAACATTTTCAAAATTAACATTCCAGAAGAGCTATCACAAAGAGAAGAATAAGTTCAGAAAAAAATTAGAACTATATACATAAAGTAAAAGAATCATTTGAAGGTTGATGGAAAGTTAAATTTACTAGTAAATGTATCAAATCACACACAGCATATAAATATAGTTACAAGGATATAACAAAGAACAAATTTTCTTTAAGCATCAAATGTGTAATATACTAGAAATTCCAGAATTGATCTCTCTAGGAGGATATGTTTCCTATAAAATGTAGGAACACATTAAAATAGTCACAGAAATGGATCACTTTGCCAATATTCACCATCAAATATCATTCAAGCAATGAAAAGGGTCTTATCAAGAAATTACAAAAAGATACCAAAAAATAATATTTTACCAAGAATTATTTTTACTTTGATTTGTAGTAGATAAATGAAAGAATGGAGAGAGAGAGAGAGAAAAACTTATCTGATAAAGAGATTTTAGCCACTGCAGAAAAAGTTATACAATAATAGTTTGTTAATTTGGCACTCAATAATTCAGAATGCCCAATAATCTGATATTGTTTACCAAATTACTCTCTTGCTGGTGAATATTTAGTTTATATTGTATTGTGCTGAACAAACAGCTTCATTAGAACTTGTGTAAGTGTTGTATGTTTAATAATGTATGACTAATTTATCATCTTTTCCACAGGACAAAGTGAAGAAATGCATCTAAAAACATATCACTCATCCTCTGAACCTTTATGAATCTGATCTGTACAGTATATGCCTGGAAAATAATTATAATATGCACCTGAATCATTGTGAATATACAATAATATGGTCATTAACATTTCTGCAACTTTAAAAAAGAAAAACCACCAATTAATCAATCATGACAGTGTAATTATGCACTGCATCATCATCAGACTGGTTAAAGAGTGCAAATCGAAGCATACAAACTGTACATTTTGTAACAATGCACAGAAATACCTGCAGCATTCATATTGTAAAAATACAATTTGATAATTCAGCATCACTCTGGTATTAGAGAACAGTAGAAATTTGTTAATCCAGTACCTATAATAGAGGTTTGAAAAAACATATCCATCAAACCAAATCATAGTAGATAGAATGATCTTGCAAGTAGCTTGTTTGGACAGCATAAAGAAAGATCCTATGCTACTTGAGAGGTTTCCCCCCCAATGAAGTTCAATAGTGTTGAACCAGAAAGTGAATAAAGTCATGTAATCATTTGACTGTGGTGTCTGACAAACTATGCTTGAAAATGATGTTTGTTCATCAGGAACATTTTATCAAGATCATTCTGGTAACTAATTGATTTGGCAGTTCCAATAAAATGGAATATCAATGTCAAAGAATGGACAAATTTATGGGAAATGGCACATTTTGAAGAAATTCATTACTGGATGATTCACTATCATCATACTTTTCTTCTGTTTAAGCAGTGCTCTGTGAAGCCACTTCAAGTGTTCCGTGAAAAAAAAATCAAATATATAATTAAAAATTGTTGCAAAAGAAAAATCAATACAATGTAAAATAATTTTTGTATGGGAATGTAATCAGCAAATGCCAATGATATCATATACTAGACTGAGTATGCTCTTGATTTCAAAAGATTTAACACATCAGCTTTAAAGCAGGGGTGGCAAGTGTTCAGTGAAAAGGAAAAAAAAAAAAATAGTAGTTTTGAAGTCAGTGTTCCCTGACTTCAAAAATTTTCTTATATTTTGAATTCCAATAATAAATGAGTTAGCAACATATATAACATTTTAAGTTTCTTTATTATGGAATTTAAAATTAAATTTCTAGTTGAAAACTATTATTCAAAATAAAAATTTTAAACTAAACTACCTTTGCTGTATATAATTTCAGTTAAATTTGACAAAATCTAAAGTTTTATAATTAATATTTGTTTTTAATATTCAACTAACTGTAGAATAATAATCTTTACTAAATAAAAATGTGTTAAGAAACATTGGTTATGGCACTATTTAATTTTAAAGATTCAATTGACTTTATTTTCTTAAATATCATTTTTATATATAGTTCTAATTAAAATTTTAATTACTATAAAAACGTTAGAAAATGAAAGATTAGAGAATTATCATTCATAAATTTTTTAAGGTATATGAAGTTTGCTTATGTTTTGGTTTATTCCAATACTCATTAAATATGAAAATTAGTTAGTGTTTGATCTTAATTGTCTTCTATTAGTAAAGAGTTAATAAACTATCTTAAAATGCAAGAAACAGTTTGCTACTTTTAGTCTTAAAAATTTTCCATTTTTATTGTCCATTTTTTCACTAAATTGGGCATTGTTGTGAGGGAAAATTTATGGAATGATATTTTTTTAATCTAGACATTCCTCCATATTATTTGTACATCCACACTGACATAAAAATATTAGTCTTGTTTTGAATAAAGGAACAACAAAAAATGACCTTTGGATAACAGCTATGTTGAACAGTGCCGGCCCGAGGCAAGTTTTAGGATGGAGCAAGATCCTATTATGGCGCCCCCTTGGTTGCCCCTAATTTATACCCTTTAATTTTCTTTACCACTGAGGCACCCCCTAGGAGTTAGCGCCTGGAGCGGCTGCTCCGTTCGCCCTATGGTAGGGCCGGCTCTGATGTTGAACATGTGCCAATGGCCATGTTGTTTATACACTATCACACCACCTTTTGTTACCTGAATAGACTTCATTCATAGAAATAAAAAAGCTAAACAAAGTGAAAAGTTAAAATACAAAGGATAGCAGATCTGAATTGTAGTAAAATTGTTCAACTTTTGGTAGTAGTACCATACTTCATATATAAATCATTGGTTACTTGCATAAACCTATACCAGCAGATAAATAGAAAATTATTAGGATGGAATAAAACTGTGCTTAACCTGAACCATCACACATCCTATACTTCCAGAAAAGCCACTGAAAGCATACGACTAGTATCCAATTTAGAAGGTACCATAATTAAGAGAAGTGTTGGTACCAACACTTCTCTTAATGAATAAAAAAGTCAAGCAACAGTATGGTCCCAGCACAGCATGGATGGAAAAGTAAGATGATGTCTTAAAAATTAAAACATGAAAAAACAATATCATTTAATTGTTAATCATAAATTTTTCATGTTGCTAAAAACTTAAATTTTGGCAACCAAGTAGCTTAAAAGGAAAGGTTAGGTCATCATGGAATGTATTCTGGAATATTAAAGTGAACAAAAGGAACTATTTCAACAAATTTAAATTTTAATTAATATTTTTTTTATAGTAAAATGTTCATTTGCTAGCCATTGATGTTCTTTTTTTAATTTTAATTTGATTGTGATAATTTGATATCAAATGTTAAAGTCTAAAAGCATTTTCGAAAGTATTTTAAAATTAGGATAAAATGTCAAGCAATTATATTTTCTAACAACTTCAGAAGTAATGGTACTTTTAAAGCACAATTTAAAATAATTCAGTTTGTTAATAACATTAATTAGAAGTATACTTATTTACAAAATATGATAATCAAATTATAAGGGAATTAATAGCAAATAATTTAACTTTATATTTTCAACAAAACTGATAAAAATAATTATTTGCAAAGCAATTAGTAAAGTTAATAAAATTAACTATGTATATAACTACGTATTATAAAAAAAAATTTTTTATTATCATACCTTTCACAATTAGAGTGCATCGCTTCTTGTCATTAACAATGTATAAAGCAGTGATGAGAAAACAAAATCCACCTATCACTAGAACAAAAGTTGTGATGAACAGTGCATATTGAAGACTGATATACTTGATAATGATTGATTTGTCATTTGTATAATTAATTGCATCTGAAACCTGGAAAGTATATATGCTTAAATATTTTATGTAATAAACTAAAAATATCAGAAGTTATTTTAATTTAAATTACAGTTCCAATGATACTTGGACTTGTAGCATCTCCAAGAGCATGAGAGATCAAAATTTGGGTAGCAGCTGCTATAGATCTTCTAGTAGGTATAACAACATACTGAAAAGAAACAAACATTGTGTATATTTCACAATTTGATAAAATTTAAAAATAATATTCCAATTTCACTTACTAGAAGCATATCAGCAACAATAGCCCAATTCATGCATAACAACATTTCTCCAAAAAATATCAATGTCTGAAATTTTATATAGTAAAAAATACTGCAAAATACAAAGTGATAATAAAAAATGATAATTACCCAGGATAAATTTGTATATTTGGCTGCAACAATGCAGCCAAAAAAGACAAAAGGTGTACTTCCTAACATACCCGCTGCACAAACTAGAGGATCTGCTCTTTCATTAAATTTACGAAGATATTGGGAAAGTCCTGATCCAAGAAGAACTCCAGATATTCCAGCCACACAAGTAATGATTCCAAATTTTATATTTACATTTACACTAAAATACATTTAATAATTTTTAAAAATTTTAGCAGTTAATAAAATAAATATTTGCACATTACATATAAAAGGTTGAAAATATACATTGAAAAATTTTGATCAAAACATGCATATAAAATCAAATCATTTCAATATTATGGAAAATAAATACTAAAACATGAAAACAGAAAAAAGATTACATTTATCATTGAAAAAAAATCATCTTAAATTATTGAAGAATATTTGTAAACTAAAAAAATTATTAAAAAAAATTGTTTAGGCTCAGATTTTTTACAATTTAAAAGTAGAATAAGAGTATAACAGCTAAAAAAAAACTTTTAAATTTGATATAAAACATATTAAATACTTGTACATATAAGAGAAATAATGTGAAATAGCATCAACCTCTCTCATACAACATAGTATCACTATACTTTTTCATTGTATTTAAAGCAAACTCAGATTTAAACAATTGTAATGTTATAGCAGATCTTTCAGTAACTTGAATATTCTTGTAAAAGAAGAATTTGAAAAAAAAGTGTTAAATTTTATTTATCAAAAGAAAAATGATAAACTAGCAAAATTAAATATTTTCTAATTTTAAACATTTACAAAAAATCAATTTAAAATATAATCTCACAATGAAGAATTTTCTTCTAGAAATAAGAAAATCTAGATTTATTAATTAGTTGTAAATTAAATTTGAAAATAAAGCAGTATTAAACAAACTGTTCAAGATTCAAGACAGTTTGTTTTAAAATTTCTTTTCACTTTTTTTGAAGAATTCTTTTACAGTGTTTTCTTAATACTAATAACAGTGTAAATTTATTCTGTGATTTTGACTAAAAAAATAAACTAATCAATTTTTCCCTCTAATATTCTAAAAAAATCATCATAGATTAAAATTAAAATCTATGATGATGATAATTTTAATTTAATTATGAAATTAAAATAAGTGACAAATTATTACAAGTGCAGTAAAGTCTTCTATTTACTAATTTTCTACAATTGCCATCCATCGCCTTTGTAAAACAAACGCTTTTAAAATTTTAAAAAAACCTGGTCTGATTCATTCTCAACATTCTTGTAATAGTTTGCAATACAGCAAGAAATACTGGAAGTCTGATTAAATCTGTTCATTCACATGTTTGTGTGGTCATTTTAACACCTTTTCAAATCAACTTATCTCTTATGGTATTAAATAAATGAAAGACAATCAAGACTGAGATGATATTATATAAAGGTAAATATTAACTTGTTTAGAAGAAAATACCTCAGTTAATGCAGATAATTTATCAAATTTAATATTTCAGAACTAATTTGACTTCAATTTCAAATCATTTACAGGTTAGTCATAGGTTGAAAGGTAGAATGTACTAAATGGGAATAATCAAGGTCTGAAAAATAAAAATTATTTTACTTATGTAGTTTAAACAACTATACAAGACTTCACAAATAATAGGTATTACAGGAACATGAATGATAGGCCTATTAGAAACAATAGGAAATCTATTTGATGAACATATGGTAGTAGTACATGGTAGTAGTACAGGCAGAGAAACCAACTGGAGTCAGGCAACCTGCAAATGCACCATTTTCTCTTAAAAAAGAAATATGAAGTATAACAAGCAATTATTAATTGTGACACTGTCACAATGCTGAGATGCGATTTTTCAATCATATTTTTAATTTAAAATATATGCTCTCCACCTCAAATTAGTAGTGGCTTGCTCCTGTACATCACTTTTCCTTTAACAACAGAGTCATGTCGATCATCTATCAAACACATTTCGGGAAAAAATTTTTTAATTGAAATAATATGACTTCCAGTTTGTATTGAACATTCATATATTGTTAATAGGGGTCTCCTGCCCCTATTAACAATATATGAATTATATTGTTGACCAGAAGGTTTCCACATCTGGTCTCATCTTTCATCTATCTAACTCAGTTTGAGATTAAGGAAAGACAGAAAGGATGGCAATGGGAATTTATAGGTCTACAATTTTTTCAAATTGTAGCCCAATCAATACACAAAAATCAATTTTATAAATACTTAAATTTAAGAACTCAAATCTAGATAAACTAAAGAATATATTAATTTTAATAATGGTAATGTATGTTCAATGCCAGATAGTAGTGTTCTGAGGTGTTCAATAAGGTATACAAGGTCTGTTCAAAAAGTATCGGACCTTATTTTTTTCCGCGTAAACCAATGATACGCGAGAGGCCTCCTTTGGTGGAGTTGTGGAGGGGACAGTCATGCACATCTCTGAATTTTTTCCCGCCTGCAGGAAGCGTCAGTCGTTGGCAATCGGCCTATGAGTGAGGTCATGTAGAGCGCTCTCGTTGGATTCCACTAAGCTGAAAAATGACTGAACAACGCGAGCAGCGGTATTACATCAAATTTTGCCAAAAACCTTGGCGATACCCGAGTGTAAATCATTCGCAAGATTCAGCAGGCTTTCGGGGACGATCCTCGAGGCCAAAAAAAAGCGCGGCAGGTCTGCAGCAATATCAAAGGTCATGTTGACAGTTTTTTCGACTCTCGTGGGGTGGTGTGTCGTGAGTACGCACCACAAGGCCAAACCATCGCAAAGGAGTACTACCAGGAGGTCCTTCGTC